TCCATGCCCTTTGCTCCTTGTCTCTTCACCTGAGAGGTGGAGCAGGCAAGGAAAGAAAAAAGGGAAAAATCTGTAAGCTTTGCCTTTATTTAGGAGACAGCAGCAGTGTTCCACTCTCAGTGGTGTGAGTTGACTTTTGCTCCATCAGAGCTGACTTAGATTGCCTGAGGACCTGGTTCACATCTCTGCTTCCTTCTTTGCAACCTCGGGCTGAAAGGGACAAACTCATTTGATGTGGAGACAGACACAGAAAACAGAGAGCAGGACACTCTGCAGCCTCCTTCCAAAGAGGTTCTGAAAGCAGGTAGCTCCAAAGGCCTGACAGATTTTCTATCTTGGACCTACCTGCCTTCAAAGCCTGGAAATTCCAGGTGGCTTTTCCCAGAAAAGCGTGGCTCTCTCTCTTTTAACAAATTCTCCTTTGGGCTTTATAACTCACGGAGAGATTGTAAATGGGAAATGTTCCCCTCTGTTCCCACACCTTGGTTCTCTGTTTCTTCAGGGCTTCACAAAACCACGTTGTTAATTTTGATGGGAAGAGCTGCAGCTTCCCTTCTGGGCAACTTTCTTTTGGGTTAAAACTTCCACATTTCCTTCAGTTCCAGCAGGGCCCAATTTCCCTGCCTGCACAGATGAACCCCAGGAAGGGGGACAGGGACAGGGACAGGCAGGGAATGTGCTGGTGGTGGCTTTTGCAGCAGGAGCCTGAGCACGAGCAGTTCGAGGGAGGTGCTTGGGGTCACTCAGGGAAATTGTGGTCGAGGGTGATTTTCCTCTCTGGTTCTGTGGTCGAGGGTGATTTTTCCTCTCTGGTTCTCTTGGAGATAAAATACCCTGGACAGGATCTGGGCTCTGCTGGGGCTGAGCCGCTCTCTGACTGCTGGCAGCTGAGGGGTGGCTCTGCTGGCACAGCTGTCCCCAGGGTCTCTGTGCCCTGGTGCCAGCAGACCTTGGGGAGGCTCTGCCTGTGCCCCATTTCTCTGTTTTTGTGCCCCTCGGGTCTCTGCCAGAGCCTGCAAAGCCCTGCCATGGCACTGCTGAAGGTTGTGGCAGTCTCCAAAAGCTGGGACAGTTCTGGTCTGTCCTGCCTTTGTTTTCTGCCTGAGCACTGGGCTCCTCCATCAGCTCTGCCCAGCTTTCCCAGGAATTCTGCCTCTTGCCAGGTTTATTTGGGAAGTTGAAACGAGCTGGTTTTTTCAGAGGAGATGTTGTTGCTCTTTAGTAATTGCTGCTGTGCCTCTGCTCCCTCTTGCTTTGGGCCATCCCGGCAGGGCTGGGGCAGTCCCGGTGTGACCCTGGTGTCCCTGGAGGAGGACAAACCTGTCCGTGCCCAGGGCTGGCACGGCTGCGAGGGGTCCTGGGGACGTGTTTTTTCATGAACCCTGGGCCAGGAGGTGGGATGGGAGCCTGGGCACTCCTGCAGCCCGTGGGCTCTGCTGGGATGCAGATCCCGCAGAGCCCAGGCTGGATTTGCTGCTGGAGCAGCGGGGCTGGGAGCACAGCGGGCTAATGAAGGCCCAGGGGACAGGGCAGGATTATCCTGGAAGGCAAGCTGACCCTCTGCGAGGTGTTTACACTAATCACAGCTGAAGGGAAATGCAAACTCTGCCAGTTATCCTGCAGGGGGATGTGTGGTCCCCACTGCTGTGTAATGGCCCTAATTAAAGCCATTCCGCCAGGTTTGTTATTTGGAAAAGCAAAAGGAAAATATCTCGGGCTCTCTGAACCTCCCCCTTTCCTTTCCCCTATCTTTATTATCAATAAAAAGAGAGAGAAAATGCCGTCTGGGCTTGAGGATTTCCTTCACATATGGAAGAGATTTAGAATTCTCCAGCTCCCAAAGCTCCCCCCAGCATTCCCTGTCTGCTCCCTGTGTTTCCCAGCCTTACCTGTGGACAAGGGATGCACGGGCTGCTTTCTCCTGCAGGTATTTTTTTTATTCCAATAGTAATTACTTTTGAGGGTTGAATCACAGGCACGTGAATCATCCTGCAAACAGCTTTGATATTTTCAACTGGGAGCAAATTCTTGGGGCATTTGCTGTGTGCCTTTTTGGTGGCCCTGGCTTGGCTGCCTGTGTCCCCAGGGACTGCACCTGCTCCTCTTGGGGTAAATTCCCACTGGGATCAGCTCCAGCCTTTCACTGGACTGCCAAACCTTTGCATTGTTGTTTTTATTTTGTTCTGTGGAGCTCTTTTTGCCTGGCAGCTCAATCTCTCTTGGTCTTTCCGTGGCTGGGATTAATTAAATTCTCACCAGGGGTTGTCCTGGCCAGGGCCCTGCCCTTCCCTTCCCATCTCCCCCAAGGTTCTTGTGCAGCTCCTTGGGTCTGGGGATTCTCGGATGGGTGGGAGCAGCAGGATTTGGTTTTGTAATCAGAATTTCCCCAGGAGGGAGCAAACCCCCCAGTGTTTCCCACCTTGCTGATGCTCCTTTCCTCTAGTGACAAAAAGATCAGCCTTCCAGGCTGCTCCACTCCAGACCCTGCTGCTGGTCCCAAGTTCTTGGTTGTTTTTATTTTTTTTTTTTTATTTTTTATTTTTTATTTTTAATTGCAGCTGCATCTCTGGGCTTGGATAACCTTAAATAATGTGCTTGCATCCATCTGATTTTTCCCGGGGAAAGGAAATATTCCTGGTGATTTTTTTTTTTTTTTTAAACCAAAGCCACCCCCTACCTGACAGCACTTTGGAGGCAATGAAAGCATTGATGGTGTCAGAAGAGCCTGGTGGGATGGGGTGGGAGCAGGAGAGGAGGGCGCTGGGGGTTATTGGCTCCAGCTGTGCCTCATTAGCTGCAGCCAGAACCCAAAAAATCCACCTTGAGCGAGGTTTGAAGGAGGGGAGGCTCGAGAGGAGGCTGCTCTGCAGAGACCTCAGCACTCACAGGGGCTTTGGAGGATTTTGGACAGGTTTGGCTATGTTAATTAAAGAGGAAAAGGGATTTTCTGCTCCCCATCCGAGGGCTGGGAGAGGAGGATGCAGCCCCCAGGAGGTTCCCTGAGCTGAGCCAGCGCTGGGAGCAGCTCTGGCCCCTTTCAGGCACTGCTGAGGGTGTTGGAGGGTTCCTGGGCCAGCATTCTGCATTATTCTGCATTATTCTGCACTATTCTGCATTATTCTGCACTATTTTGCATTACTCTGCACCTGCCCTGGCCCTCCCAGCTGTGTCTGGGAGCTGCTCCTCCCTGGGGATGTCCTGGAGAGGTTTTTGTGCTTGCAGTCTCCTTCCAAAGAGGTTCTGAAAGCAGGTAGCTCCAAAGGCCTGACAGATTTTCTATCTTGGACCTACCTGCCTTCAAAGCCTGGAAATTCCAGTTGGCTTTTCCCAGAAAAGCGTGGCTCTCTCTCTTTTAACAAATTCTCCTTTGGGCTTTATAACTCACGGAGAGATTGTAAATGGGAAATGTTCCCCTCTGTTCCCACACCTTGGTTCTCTGTTTCTTCAGGGCTTCACAAAACCACGTTGTTAATTTTGATGGGAAGAGCTGCAGCTTCCCTTCTGGGCAACTTTCTTTTGGGTTAAAACTTCCACATTTCCTTCAGTTCCAGCAGGGCCCAATTTCCCTGCCTGCACAGATGAACCCCAGGAAAGGGGACAGGGAAGGCAGAGCCCTCCCAGGCAATGGCAGGACAATTGATTCTGGAGCAGGTTCTGGGCCAGGCTTCTGGCTACCTTTGTGCTTAATTTGAAAGTGATTTGAAAGCGTGTCTGCTGCTGGATTCCTCTAAGCAGATTAGGGAAGTGCAATTGATTCCAAACCGGCTGTAGATGAGTATAAAAGGCAGAATTGATTGGCTCAGTCTATTTTAATTTTCTGGGGAGCGCAGTAAATAAATAAATAAATAAATAAAGCACCCTCCAAACCTGAGGGTAAAAATCAGCGCAAACAGGACTTGTGAAATGGGGTTGTTTGGGCGGGAATTCTGGGATTTACAAGGAGCAGCCCTGCTTCTTGTCCCCTTTTGGCTCTCCCGAGGTGGCTTTGGGCAGAGGCTGCCCTTGGGGCACGTCCCCTGTGTGCACAGGGAGGGCAGGACTGGAGGAGCACCTTGAACACGAAACGTGTCTGAGGGCAAGAGGTGCCCGGCTCATAAAGTGCATAAATTTTCCCAATTTTATGCCATTTTCCCCCACGGCTCCCCTCTCCCCTGCAGCTCAGGGGGAAAAGCTGCTGTGGCTCCTGGGGTGATGCCTTCCAGATGGGTTTAGCTCGTTATCACAGCCATTAGGGCTGCCCTTAACGACCACAACTGGGATTTATTGACAGAGGTAAACAAGTTTTTGTTTGGTATTTGTGGAAAGTTCTTAATCTGTTTAATTAAAAAAACCTGGGCTCTCCTATCAGCGTTCCTCCCCTGCAGAGCCTTTCCCAGGACTTCTGCCTTTTGCCAGGTTAATTTGGAAAGTTGAAATCGTTTTTTTTCCAGAGAAGCTGTTGCTCTCTAGGTGTTCTGTGCATTTACTGGCTTTGTTTCACACACCTCTTCCCTGTCCAGAGAACGGGCACTTGCCCTGGCTGGGGTTCCTGTCCCAGTTCTGTGATTTTATTTGCTAAATTTGCAGATTCTGAGGCACTGCAGCCTCCCTGGTGTCCCTGCTGCTGGCAGGTGTCCCTTTCCAGGCCTGCATCACCTGCAGCATGACTTCCCTGGGCTGCTGGCAAAGCTTTAATGCAATGGTGATGTGGGAATATTCGCTGGGAAAGGTTCTGGAGGCAGAGTTTGGTGCCTGATTCTTTCCTCCCGGCGAGGGTGAGATGCAGGCTGGGCACGGAGGGGTGGCAGAGGCTGCAAGTGCAGGGCTTGGTCAGAAGTGGAAAAATCAGAAACAGAAGTGCCTGTGCCCCAAAGTCCTTTGCAAAGTGACAAAGTGTGAGCCACGTGTGACGGCTTTGGCCTGCCAAAAAGAGCTTTTTGACAGGGGTAAACGGGTTTTTGTGGAAATCCCGAGATTCCTCACCAAATCCTTGCTTTCTTCTCTTTCCAAACCCACCCCAGAACCGAGGCCGCCTGGCAGAGAAGAGGAGCATCCCCCTGCCCCCCAGCAGGGTCCCCAAGAAGGAGCTGAGCTCCCTCTTCTCCCACAGCGAGGACAGCCAGGAGAGCGACAAGAGCAATGGGCAGCAGCCCGAAGTGAAGCAGGAGGAGGATCTGCACATCAGTATCATGAAAAGAAGGTACCTGCAGGGTGGGCAGGGACACAGAAACCCGGGCAGAGGCAGCACTGCCCCTGGGTCACCTCCAGGGCTGGCATCCCACTGCCCAGGGCACGCTGCAGCTCACCCAGGGCAGCTGCTGGGGATTTGTCACCCCTCCTGGGAGTGCACTTTGCACTCTGGATTTGCAGATTGTCACTCGGGTCTCACTCTCTGCCCAGGGCTCTGTGGCTTTGTGGCCGAGGAAGTGACCAAGAAATCATCTGTGGGCTTCAGCTGTCTGAAATGCAGAGCCCCAAATCCCAAATCCTGCCTCCTGCTGTCAGCTGTGCCCAGATTGTGATGTGATTGAGGCTGGGGGTTCAGTGCTGGGGAGCAGAGTTTGGGAAGCAGCAAAGTGTGGGGTTTTTGTTTGGTCACAGAACAGATAGGTGTGGGGTTTTTGTTTGGTCACAGAACAGATAGGTGTGGGGTTTTTGTTTGGTCACAGAGCAGCAAGGTGTGGGGTTTTTATTTGGTCACAGAGCAGCAAGGTGTGGGTTTTTTCTTGGATTACAGAGCAGCAAGGTGTGGGTTTTTTATTTGGTCACAGAGCAGCAAGGTGTGGGGTTTTTTTGTTGGATTACAGAGCAGCAAGGTGTGGGTTTTTTCTTGGATTACAGAACAGCAAGGTGTGGGGTTTTTTCTTGGATTATAGAGCAGCACGGTGTGGGGTTTTTTCTTGGATTATAGAGCAGCAAGGTGTGGGGTTTTTTCTTGGATTATAGAGCAGCACGGTGTGGGGTTTTTTCTTGGATTACAGAGCAGCAAGGTGTGGGGTTTTTTCTTGGATTACAAGTGTCAGAGCATCCTGAGAGCCTCCAGGAGTAGAGGAGGAGTGATGGAGTTGCAGCAGAGAGGAGGAGCTGCTTGATTTTGATCCTGTTCTCCTCAGTGCCGTGAGCATTCATCCTGGAGTTGTGCAGTCCTAGAGGAAGAGGAGCATGGATTGTCTTGAGTTCCTGGGAACCCTCACCTGGCTGCTCCTGGGAGGCCTCAGTGCCCCCAACATTCAGCTGCAAAATCCCAGGTGCTCCCAGCCCTCTGAAGAAGCAGGAATTTCAGGAAACCTGTAACCCCAGAGAACAAACCCCCGAGGGCAGCGTGCCTCAGCCCCCCGTGCAGATCCCTGCAGCTCGGCTGGGTTGTCATCTCCCCGTGATGCACAGCAGGGCTCAGATCCTGAGACAAGCCCTGTAAAAGCAGAGCAGAGGGAGCTGAAGGGCTGGAATTGCTTTCCTGGTGTTTTATGTGCTCCTTGCCTGGCAGAGGAGAAGCTGCTGCCCCTTCCCTCAGACGGATGCCGAGGGCTCGGAGCAGGGAGGCAGAAGAGCAGCCAGCTCTGCCCATAAAGCCTCCTGTAATTAAAATCTGTCATTACTGCAGCTGCCCAGTGCTCCTGCTGGACATGGAAAGGTGTTTTGGGATGCACCTGGGCTGTTCAGGAGCACAGGGAACCCCGCAGTGGTTTTGGTGAAGTGCCCTGCTCCTCCTGCCCCTTTAACGATGCTTTTAATGCTGCAGAATTACACTGCTCGTTAGGAGGGAGAGCAACATGATAACTGTAATTGATAATGCTGGGCCCCCCAAATGCAAAGGGCCCTTATCTCAGATCTTTAATTACTGTAATTGCTTCGCCGTGTTTATTAGGAGTGGAGGAAGGCTGTGTGGCAGCTCTGGGCGGGGGTGCCCAGCCCGCCGTGCCCGCGCTCTGCAGCAGCTCGTGTCTCCTCGGAGGGGAGCAGGACTCTCCCAGCTGGGTTCAGCTCTCCCTGCTGCTGTGCCCTGCTTCTCCTCCTGCCCTGGGAGCTGGGCTGCAGCGTGGGGCACAGCTGGGCTCGGGGGGCAGGCACAATTCCTTGCTGAGAGGGCAGGAGCAGGAGAAACAGGAATTCAGTGCCCAGGGAACCCCTGCTGCCCCCAGCCCAGCACTGATCCCTCCGAAGGGGTGCCAGTCCTCCTGTCCCAGTGGGGTGAGACTGGGCACTGCAGCTGCTCCAGGGCCTCGAGTGGGGAGCAGGGACCCCCTCCTGCTGGCCTGGGGGGGGTCTGGGGCATCAGGAGCAGCCTGACCCCCTCCTGCTGGTCTGGGGGCATCAGGAGCAGCCTGACCCCCTCCTGCTGGTCTGGGGGCATCAGGAGCAGCCTGACCCCCTCCTGGTGGTCTGGGGGCATCAGGAGCAGCCTGACCCCCTCCTGGTGGTCTGGGGGCATCAGGAGCAGCCTGACCCCCTCCTGCTGGTCTGGGGACATCAGGAGCAGCCTGACTCCCTCCTGCTGGCCCTGGGGGCATCAGGAGCAGCCTGACCCCCTCCTGGTGGTCTGGGGACATCAGGAGCAGCCTGACCCCCTCCTGGT